AGGAAATCAGCGGGGGGGGGCTAGAGATGAGCTGAACATCACAATGGAACAATAAGTGTCAGGAAGGCTAGATTCCCGAAAATGGTCCGAAACCTGCGACACCTAAGCCCAACCAAAATCGCTGCAGGGAAGCCGTCAAGCATCCAGACCAGAAGAGCCAGTTTTTGATCGAGCGCTCAAGCAGTCAGTCGATTTAGCAGCGGCGGGCGAATGTTCAGGTGTGCCACATAAGGACGGGCGATGAGGATGAGTGTTCACCCAACGCCGATCAGTGTCAAGAGTACCCTTAAATAGCGCGAAGCTCCTTGTAACTTTTGCACCCACTTTTTTGCAATAAAGATGTATTCCTTGTTGGCGAGTACTTTTCCGACACTAAGGCACTGGGGCGGGAACAACAGTTAGTCACAAAAACAACCATATTATTTGTGATTGAGGATGTGTTAGTACATGGTTAAGTTGGAAAAACACGTTCAGGTTAATAAGTGAACACCGATTGGCCTGAGTTTGCACCAACACGGGTAATTCAGCGAGTGTTATGTGTTTTATATTTAAATTCCTACTAGAACTATACACAGAAGTACCAGAACCACATAGGACAACGAGGAAACCCGTTACTTGGTCTAGGTTCCAAACCCAATATTTCTGAATAAAGTCGAATGTGCTCCAACGAACATCGGTATGATTTCGCTGAGTTATGGCTCGCTGTTATCATCGGTGCGAGCAGGTTTAGCTACTGATGAGTTGGTATCCGAATTAGGGTTACGGACAATTTTCGAAGGGAATTTTTATTATTACACCATCTTGAAATCCGTGGCAGCCACAACTGGACAACTAATTGTGTTTGCTTTATTTAGTTACTTGTTAGGCTCATGGGCATTGTGCCTGAAAAATAGCGTTTGTGCTATTTTGTCGCATGACGTAGGATGCTTCGCATCGTGATGCCGAAGAACCTAGATCAACAAGTTGCAAGATTGCAGTGACAAGATACTAATTCCAGCAAGTTAAGGTAATTGATGTGAGCAGATCACCTACCAGTGCGACAGTTTCGTGTGCCAATGGTATGAAAATGCGGTAAACAATGTTCGGTAAAAGCAGCAACCATGTACATGCCTTAAACTCAACCTGAGCTTTGGTCGCTACTCTTGCGATTCGGATTTGTCACCGAAATCTCGCTGGTGCTAAGTATGCTAGAATTAATGTTGGGAGCCTAGACTGGACTTAGAGGCACCTGTTTTCTGCTACTGCACGGTAAAATCCCATTTAGGACACAGTTACTGGGAGAGGGACAGTAACCCGGTGCTCAGATACATTTAAGGGCGCATGAAAATATAAGGGGCCCGGTTTGATTAGTTGGAGTATAACCGATGAAGACGCACAAGGTACTGTAAACACAGCTTATCCAGCTCAGTAGGCAACAGAAAGTTTGCTCTGAAGTAGCAGCCGTAAATCCTGCTGGAGTTCATGTAAGTTGTAGTAAATATCAGGAGATATTCACTCACCCTGATTAGTTTACCAGAGACATTCCCGCAAGATTCCATGATTTCTGTGTAATTTTCGACAAGCCGGTACACAGGTTGGACCCCGAAGAGTTTGCCCTCGGGAAAACCCAAAGCAACCCTTTCCCTTGTGTGGTCTGTCGGTAGGATTTTTATCTTGCGAAACATCATGTCCTTATAGCTTTCGCTAGCGCATTCCGAACAGTACAGACAGATGAAGGCAAATAACGGCCTACTTTTCTTAATTGTATGTGCGTTTGCAAATGTGACATGAGGCTTCAATGAATCCACTGTTTATGGTGTTATTAGATTACTATTACCACCCAAGAGTAGTTTGCGAATGTAATCACCCTGAGGATAAATTGGTTCTGATCATTTCCAAAGAGATGCCGGTCAAGAGGATAGTTTTTCGATTTGTTTGTTCCAAGAGAAGTGATTGAAAAGAAAACGTCCCTAGTTTCCTTCGCTTCGTCGCTTTAGTCCGTGCCGAATTTTACAAACCCGGTTTGAACATGTACGTTGGTACAAATAAACACGATGTATGGATGACCACTTCTGATGCCGTATAGCAAGGACCGAAATTCGCAGTTTCTCTCTCTTGAAACCCAAGCTACTTAAGCAATCGCAAAGTACGTGTGTAACGTTAATAGACGCATTGTGGGAATACTGTGGCGGCTGGGACCAGTGTGCTACCTACGGTCTACAGACGACTACGCAAAAACCGATTCAAAGCCCGATGAACTGTTGGCGGCAGACGCACCGCCAAAACTGTTTGAATGATGCGGAACTTCGTCCATTTCGTATAATATCTCAGTATTATATCGGTCCCACAAACCTCGAGACAAGTACCAAATGAGACCTTACTACCCCCATAGCAATCCTATGCAGGGCAGTGAAATTACGGTAGAGTGGACCATGTATAAAATGATGTGAGCATACCGCCACAACATTGCTTACTCTGCAGTGAATAAGTCATCCCGGTCGCAGTAACAGTAAATACACGAATGACGGGTACTTCGGGTATAACCAATCGGCCGAACAACATCTTAGGCCACAACCTCAACCATTGTGTGGCAGCTCTTAACTAGGTGCCTTGGCAGGGCTCTCCTATTACTTGACTGTTCGTTGTGATATCAGCAGTAATGTTCTGCATAAGGTGGCCAACAAAGAAGGTTCAACCTGTGTCCGTATACGTGCTTTGGCTTTATATACATTGAACTCGTCACCAGGAAGTCAAATAAGAAGCACTGTCTAGAACGTACAAGAACAGTCTCTTGCTTGATATCGAAGCAATAAGGCGAAGTGAAACTTTGCTTAGCTCATTGCTAGTCATTTCACAAAGGTGTGGTCCTGTATGGGAGTACGACGACGAAACAACCAGTCAGTCGGTGATCGCTGTGCTCGAACGTAACTATCGATTAGTTTAGTCATTGAGGGCTCGTCAAAAGCCATATCGCTTCACTTACGCTACAATATTGAAGTTTTTCGCGTGGAGTCAAACTGAAAATATCATGGATACTCCAGTGTCCCGCTCTACAGCAATCCCGACAGGGTGTCTAACACAAACTCAGAAAACGTGGTCGAGCAGTTGAGTGCCATTCGCCCTCAACCATACGTATTTCTTTAAGATTATGTTCACTGAGACCTCGAATAGTTAGTATTTCACACAAAGTCAATGGGAAGGGATTATTTGATTCTGTGATATAAGAATGGACAATTTTGTGACGTTAATGTACGATAAGCGCTGTTCACAAGAGGCAAATCGTATACCTTCTTGACCCGCCACAGCGAAGGGAAACAACTCCACAAATACACTTACTTGCATAACAGTTTGGTTTTCACGGAAGTCACCTGAACCCCAGCTGAATCGCTCGCTTGTGATATTCTTCTTCAACTGAAAGTGCTGCACAAATGCCATCTCGTGCTTCAGGTGGTACGATATTTGAGGTATCGCAACACATCGTACAGACGTAAAACACCACTCATAATCATACCAGCTGAAACATCAGGCGGTTTGGAGCCGCACATCCAGTTGAAGAAGAATAACATAAGCGGAAGATTCAGGTGGGCCTACCGTGAAAACCAAATCAGCCCGCAAATAAGCGTACTTGTCGAACTTCATGCAATTGGGGTTCAAGTGGAACATAAGTTTGGCGGAATCTGGGGGACGCCGCCTACCTGATGAATTCCAAAAAAGGCGAAACCAGTCGTAGTCTGTCGAAGAGTTCTCAGCGGCCTTATGAGTAGTGCGGTACGTCTGGACGAAGGAAAACAAAATGCTACCGCAAAAGTAAAACTCAATGTCGGCAGGTAAACAGGACCAGTCGTAGTCGTCGAAGAGTTCTCAGCGGCCTTATGAGTAGTGCGGTACGTCTGGACGAAGGAAAACAAAATGCTACCGCAAAAGTAAAACTCAATGTCGGCAGGTAAACAGGACCGAAATCGACGTGGTAGCTCGCTCATCATTCAAATAAGCTACTTTAGAGTGCTTGAAATGCCAACAAACGAGTCCGGGAATACTACCTCATGGAAGTACAAAAATTACTTGAGGAAAACGACTCGCCTGGAAGAGCTGTTCCAGTTGACTTAATTCAGCTGCCTTGACGGCCGAACAAAAGCCATCCAACACGGCTAGCGTCAGGAAGACGGATTTGAGATTCTCCACACAGGATTGCGTTCCTATGGGCGACAAGGGAAGTTTGGGAACAGTTGAAAACAATAAATTTATTGATTTTCAGTGGCAGTTCAAAGCTATGCCTATAGGGACAGGGAGGCGAGTGAAAAGGCACACTTAGTGTAGCCAGATGAGAAGCTCGATGCTTGAACGTTAGGAAATGGAGGAGTTCCAGAGAATAGAAAGTATGTTTAAACGTTTGATGTGGTCCACAGCACTCAAATGAGCCGAGCTGCAGGGAAAGCGGCTATTTTCCTGAGTATGAAAGAAGCCCTTAATTACTTCCGACTAGAATCCTGTTCGTCAGGATGAGCATAATTCGCCATTCAAAAATCAGAACTTAGAAGCTGGTGAGTGGTCGAAAATGGATTGGGAAGATCTGACCAGTACAGCACACATTTAAATATCGACTTACTAACCGATAGTCCAGAGCTGACAGAGTGCTGCGCTCGGTTCGTGTATAGCGATTGGGTTTCGTGAATAGGCTTATTGTTTTGTACAACATTAACTGCAGCGGCTACGCCAGACGTTGTCGAGACAGTTTTCTGTTACCTTCCACTTGATTCATAGCTGGTGCTCAACGCTAATTCTCGAGTTAAACGCACTGACCTAAGCACTGAATTTACTTATCGGAGCTAGGCAGCTGAGTTCATCAACCCTAGTGACAGCACGGCGGTTGTACTAAGTCATACTATCATGGATCCTACAAATTGCCGTTCTGGCTAGATATTTGTTTCGCGTTACCGATAGCCAGCTTCGTGAAGATCCAGTAAGCACCTGGAAAAAAACTAGCTCGCTGGCATCACCGAAGAATATACTCTAATCGATAATGGACCAGGCACTGTTTTGGTGTTTTTCAATACAGTCGCTTCTGATGCTATCTGACTGGGGGATGGAATGTGTTATCCACAAAATCGATTAAAAGAATGGGAATGTGTTCTGGTCAGACAACCAATCAGAGTACCCGACGAGATTATTCAGTTCGTTGCTTGTTTCGTATCAACGCAACATCTCCAACACAGGTGTTAAACTTGAGCACGATTCCCACCGTAAGTTACTCCTAAAAAGGAGTCCTTCTGAAGGTGTTGTAAGGTATGTGCCACACGACAGTTATTACGTAACCTTTCGCATTGGCATTGTTTTCTAAACCACAAGGGTCATTTTTAGTAAAACTTCCTAACAGAGGTAAGTATTTCAACCACTTCGCTAACACCAGGCACCATCTGCGTTACCAAGTTGTCACCTGAAAACCTCCGGTCACTCCGAGTTCACGAGCTACAAAAGCCGAATACTAAATGGGATATCAAGCATCAAAGTAATTCAAAGGTGTATGAAGTATCCCTGTGAAAATTTAGCTAAGAGACTAGACTTAAAAGATACCCATGCAACTTACCAATCAGAGCCCACCGTGTGTTTCCAAGCAGATTCTGCTTTAATATATCCCTATCAGCCGATGACATCACGGGTGTTCCAGTCAGGCTGTTGGTCAAATATGGCTGGATACGATAATGCTCTGCAACCCAGTGTAAAACAGGATCCCAAGATGCATTCTGGAGGTGGACCAAATCATCTGGCTCCTGAACTCGAAAGCTATGGAAAACGGTAGATCAAGGAAATTGGTCTCAATGCGCCCACTGAAGTGACGAGTGAATGATAAAACCCTGGATAAGCGATATCAACCATTTAGATACAAGACAGAGAGAGCAGGAAGCAAAAAATATGAGGAGGGATACTGAAGGCCTGGAGAGCAGTTCAGCAAGCTCCGACATGAGTACCACTCATGGTAATAGGTCCCGTAGCCTGCACCTCCAACTGGATAGTCCGAAGTTTATGAAACACAATCAATACGCCTGTTACGACTACACAATCGATTAAATGACTGACTAGCTGACTGATATACTATTGAAACACTGCCAAACACGTTCTTACGTAAACTACGTGATTCAGCTAAGAAATACGCATAACAAAACAATAAAACTGACCAAATGGTGTCAGTATCCGCATACTGCATAATCGATTGAACTACATCCAACGGCTTTATTTCAGATCGCCAGTCCAGAACTCGATTACACAAATTCGTCTAAAGGATTGGGAGTTGGAAATGAAGGAAATATAATGAAAGGGCACCCTGTGTGACAGCCAGAATGAAGCGTTACGATAAGTTGAAAGATTACTGTAAAATCCACCGTTCAAAAAAACCCAAGGATGGCAAACTGTCGTCAGCAAACTACTTCGTAGTCAAGTGTGACTTGATGACCAAGTTTCAGACATGTTTCCGAATTCCGCTATGGTCGGTCTCTACACCATTCCACTCTAGAAACCAATGAACCGTCGCGTCGGTCAGCATGCTAGGAAACCACAAGAAAAGAAACTTGTGCCAGAATAATTGTCGTAAAATACCTAGACCCTGGAGATGGAGTTCAAGAGGTCAAAATTAACACTGAAAACAGACCACCCAGTCTCTTCAGCCAACGAACATGGCAAAGACATACGGTCATTCACATCGAAATCCGTTTGGAAAGTTACACGATGCTCAGCCGAGCATTTCGTCCGCAGAATACATCAACCAAGTACTTGCATTATCTTATTGAATGTAGCTAACCTAAATGGAAAATTGCGTCGGAAATTCGGTCAGACTATGTGTAGATCTGTCCCAGTGACGGAATAGCATCGAGATTTCCCTACCTACGTCATACTAGAAAACTACAAGGATTCAATATTGATTCGGGGTTTCACCACCACCCATGAAGACTAATGCAGCTAGTTCTCCCGTTCACTTTGAATCATCGGTGGACGGAACTGCAGCAGCTGTTAAGATTTCGCCTTTGATTTATAGATGGCAAACGGAGCACCACTTCTACTCTAACACACTCCTAAGAAGAAGTGGAGACGATCGGTGTGAATTAACTGCTAGGTTACTTCAAAATAAACCAACGATTTTTATCATGGGGAGAATGTCGAAGTTCCTCCTCAAAAGTCCGAGGACTTTTCTGGATCTTTGGCGTTAAGAAGTGGAGTCAGATGGAGGGTAACTTGTGAAATTCTGGACAGTTCCAAAGCCAGAAGCATTCAAAGGCAATACCATTAAGATGATACAGAAAGTTATCATGATGTAGTGACACGTAATGTTGTTAAATGTGGAGGTTCCACGCGGATTCATCCTGGAAAACAATGAGAGGTCTAAATGAACCTAGCAAAAATGAGATGGATGGGTAATGACTGAAGAAACACAAACACTGAATTTTCCAGTACCTAAATGAGAATAAAAAACTTGTGTTAGTAGAGAGTGAATAGCCTACGAGAGAATCGCTGTAAGAGGGCACAATTATGGCCGGTTCCGTACGCACTTTCTCTATTGAAGAATCAATGCATCTGATCGTTTTTTTAGCTACTTTTCGTTTGTCGTAACACCAAAAGAACACTCTCCGAAATACAGTACCGGCTAAATATAAAAGCCCCGATCGCAACGAGACTCCATCTAGTACTACCCCACAGGTGTATGGAAACGCAACGCATAGGTTTCTCCTCTCCCTGGAATGTGTCTGTTTACTCAGTCGTTTATAGACAAAATGATACGCACAAATGCGCTTCTTTGTAAACGAATTGTTCTGGACAGAAAAAATTGACATGTATAGAATGAGAAAACAAGACGTTTTGGATAAAACTGGCGAGCGCAGAACTTACTATTCCCAACAGGATAAAATCAATTTTAGCGTGAAAAGGAGGGCTTCAGCTAGGAATATATGAGTCACTAGAAGTTTTCAGTTTGATTTCATCAGTCTATCTATACAGGTTAGTCTGATTTTAATGATTATAAAAGCAAAACCAAGAGCCTTATCTCGGGGCGTACACTTGGGTGATTGTCATGTTCTGACGCTGTGAGTGTGAAGCGGCTTCGGCCAAACACATTGCATTTATGTGAGAAATTGTGTGATCAGTAAAGTTTCTCATCATCAAGTAAGGAGAACTTTGGACCAGGGAAGGAGGGGAATGAAGTAAAAGGGTGAAGGGTCCCTAGCCTAAACAGTAAGCATACATCACATTCAGAGTCACTGATAGAGCTGCCAGGGAACGTAGCAATGGCTCGGACCGAATACCTACATTCGAGTAGTACAGTGATTCAAGAGGATGACATCTCTCAGCCTCAGTTTTACTAATAGGTCCCCTTGAGAGAGAATATGCTGAATAAAAGACGCCTTGATTTAAGACAGGCTGACACAAACAGTGGTTACCGTGAATTATTTTGGTCACCCAAAGTGCCCCTAAAGCGATCAACAAGGTTTAGGTACACTGAAGTGAACTCATTGATCAAACCACTAGGCAAAAAAGCCGAGAATCTGTGATGCATTCCACCAGGGGACAAACAGTGAATGAAGAGGACATCATCGGATCATGCCAACTGGCATCGACTTATGAGTTACGTGGCGCTGCTCAAGCAGTTGATATTATGCGAAGATGCGAGCAGTCTATCTCACAACTGGTCGAAATCCTATCTGATATTGTCCCAATTGTATCATAATTGCTGAGATGGCGTTTTGTTATAACAGCGGTAGCACTTAGGCTCAGGCAGTTGAAGCACTTGTTTCGAGACACCCTTTTCTGAATTGAATCAAATTTTTGAAAAGCGCTCTTATTTCCACATAAGTCTAAACAATATATGAACTCATTTCCGCGACCGTCAAGACCCAGCACAGCGAAAGAGCCGAGTAGTTTGACCGCAGAATACGAGTTTTGTACATTTTGAGAACAATGCTTTGAGATCCAAGCTGTCTAAAATTGTTGCACTAAGACCAAGACAAAAGACAAACGTTTGAAGACCTCACCTCACTTCACTTATTGTAATGTAATGGGCCCTCCGAGCCTCTGAATAGGTCACAGCGTTTTTCTAAACATACACTCCTTATACCACCAATCTCTTTTCGTCAACTATGGGCTCGATTAACAGTCTTTCTACAACATCCGTTGTTATGCCGTCAGCACTGACAACAGTCACCCGTCGCCAGAACAGGGCTTACAACGTGATACAGATCAGACGATTTGGTGCATGCTATGGCGGCAGTAGCCATACCAAGGGAAGAACACATACGTTTATGTTGCTCAACCTCATTCGTCACTACCACATCACCCCGTTTTGACTTCAGTCAACGACAGCGATGGGACTCACTTGAACATGCCTATTGGGAAATGCGGATTGACCCTGGCTAGCCTACTGGTACGCGCATGTGGACCAGGTGGATGAGGTGGCATTCCAACGTGGTAATCTGACACACAGGGAAAAAGATATACAGACAAGTCGCAATCAGTCCTAAATCGTTAACGATGGTGGGTTTTTGTGAGATTCACTACTTTTGTAAGTCAATGGAAATCGGCCGATACACCAGTATAGGCCGATTTGGCTTGGCACATTCACGAAAAACGTGGATCGGTGCAAGATGCTTGCGAATGCAAGCCACCGGGATGAGAGGACAATGGGTTACCCGTCGTTTGGGTAACTGATGCCTTGATGGCGTCATACTAAACGGATCATGATGACATGAGGACATACTGCATAACTGTAACAAAGCTCAGGCGAACTATATCACAGCCCTTGGAAGTTTCGCTGTAGTACTGAGGACCTACTGCCACAAAATAGAGTGGAGCAGTGGAAACTGAACGAGCTATCCATGCCAAAATCCCACCAGTTTCAGCCAACCTAAATCAGATGAATGAAGATACGAAAAAGCTAATTTGGTTCTTTCGAGAGACTCACCTGGAACCCAGCTGAATCTCTCGTTTATGATGTTCT